CTTTTGATTTTAATGAAAAAATAAACTGTTGGGAACAACAGAAATATTTCAGAAGATGTAAACAAGAGTTTAAACCAACTTTATAGAAGGGTGTTAGATCCAATATGGCTCAACTTTGAGCTCTCCCGTTTCCTGAGTGGTTGATCATTCAGGTCCACAAATCATGTGCAAACATTTATGGATTTTTTTAAATAAAAAGCGGAGGCCAAAAACTGACATTTTTTGATTGAATGACTTTACTTCTAGTCACCTTTTGCCTTTTTAAAGTTTTATTTACTTTTGAGTTGACTTTTTCACTTTTTTGAATACTGCAACAAAGCATTTCAGCCTTCGGCTATGGAAGTTATAAATAGAAAAGTGCTGTTTTTTAAAGTGTTCTTGTTTCACAGTGGACAGCTTGTCAGTTCATAAGATACCCTGGAATCTGCCACTCACTCACACTGAGCCTGTACTCATGTTTGTCTTGCTTGAATAAAAAGAAAGCTTTCTCTGGCTTCTTCTTGCATAAAAGACTAATGCTAGTTCAATGAGTTAAATCTAAGGAAATATTTTACAAACAACCCAGTGTCTGAATATCTCTAAATACATGGTTAATGAATAACCACAGAAACCACAAACTAATTTCTTATGGTGTGGTAGATGCTCTGTTTTTTTTCCTGTATACTGTACATTCCATAGACTCTACTGATATAATTGTAGGTTCATATCGGCTTTATAATTTTAAATCCTGTACTCTCTTCTTTCTGAAATTAGAGCAGATAATTAAATATCCATGCTTTACTATTTTTGGTTTTGCTTTAGTGGAAAAGGTAAAGCAGAATTGCATTAAAGTTCCCCACCTACATTGATTGGTTTTAGTGTGCTACCTGTACAATTTCAAGATTTTCTGACTAAGGCTTCTCTGCCTGTTGCTCTTCGATTGGTGCATCTGCTAGTTGAGTGAATGCTACAACAAACTGTAGAATTTTTGTCTAAATCTTTGGCGTAGAGTAAATAGTGATTGGGGTTTAGTCACCCAAAAAGTACTGACTTTCAGCACAAATTAGCTGTGAATAGCAGTGGTTTCCTTTAAGGATTTAATCACCAAGAATGAAGTCCAGGCATGATAAACAACAGAAGGCTTCTTTGAAATAACTTGGCCTGGTTTCATGTGCCCAGGTTGTTGGTTTTTTCCATATAAATAACACTGATGGTCTTTATTGAAGCTTGCCCTTACTGTAAGCACAACTTTTGTTTTTTTTGTGAATTCCCAAAAGTTAAGATATATTGGGGGATGGGGAGGATTTGCATTAATCTCACACAACACTGCTTGTTATTTAAAAAAAAAAGCTCCTTTTACTGCAGTGGAATCAAGTATTAGAAACCTTATTAATGGAGGCCTCCCCAGTAAATGAACCAGTGAAGGGAATCATTTCGACTGAAGGCTAAGCCTTAGAATCTTATCACAGATCCATGTCTGGACTGGGATATTAGCCAGCTGTGACTGAGTGTCCCCTGACTGCTGTGCGCCATTGGCTGAGTATTGTCATGGGTATAGGAGATGAGCTTGAGTTGACCATAAGAGCCTCCAGTTGGCCACTCAGCAACAAGACTCCTTGTGTGTTAGAAGCCTTGTTTGTTAAGACCTTGTCACTTAGCTATATGGCTCTTTCATTTGATACCAACTGTTATGGTGGGGTTCAGGAGTGTCAGAAAATTATTTTACAGTATCTCAATTGTATGTCCTAGAAAAACAAGCACGTGTTCTTCCTCCCTGTGCTGATGTTAAGAAAGGAGTTTTCAGTAAGCCAAAATGAGAATTCAACCATTCTGGCATGGGGAGATATCAAAAGAAAATGTAATGATTTACTTAAAAAAAACAACTCAACTTGTTAATAATGCGGATGGTATGACTCATTATAGCCTTGTGGTAGACAAATTTTTCCTGCAAATTGTTAAATGCTGTTTTTAGAAAAATCAACCACATGTAGTGGCTGTGCATCTTTTTTTTTTATATGGTGTCCTGCAGTCATCGTGTTTGCAGAAAAGAAATGCACTGGAAGTATCATACTGTCATATTTTGTGTAATCTAATTCAGTTTTTTTTTTTGACAGGCTGAGAATCTAAGCCCATCTTCTGTTCATCGTGCAAGTTACTTCACCGATTTATTCTGTTGATAATTTGCATTTTTTCTTGCGTAGACTGGTATCACCTGAAATGCCCTCCCGTCTTTCAACGGCGCAAAACTGCATTCTATTGCACAAATTATGGCATTCCTAGCATTTTGTAATAGAATTTTCTTCAGAGAGTAGAGAAGGATATGAAATATTTTATGAAGTAAATCCTAGTAGGCAGCAGCAGGAGCAAAAAGAATCCGTAGAGGTTCTGTTCCACACGTTCATTTATAACTGAATTAAATATTTTTAATGACATATGTCACTCCGTACGGATGTAGGCAGCGTAGTGGCACAGTGGTTAGCGTTGCTGTGTCGCAGTGCTGGGGCCCAGAGTTCAGTTCTGGCCCTGAGGTGTTATCGGCGTGGAGTTTGTATGTTCTCCCTTCATTCATGTGGGTTTACTTTGGGTGCTCTGGGTTCTTTCCGCAAGGTAAAGACAGACATACTAGTAGGATAACTGGGAAAACTGGCCCTCTTGTTAATGCGTGTGTGCCCTACGATAGACTGGGTGGATCACACTTTATGCACATTTGTTGCTGGGATTGGCTCTTGCTCCCAGAATTGGATAAACCAGTTAGAAAAAGATAAATGAATAAAATGTATTTAACATTCTTTAACCATGCACATTGAGCCAACAGATGATGCAACATTCATCTCTTAAATGGTTTTGATCGTCTTCTAGCAAGGTTCCTGAGTACACTGTACAGTGTTTAGATACAGTAACACATTTCATAGAGATTTGCTAGACGCATTTTGGGGGGAGTGCTACTGTCTACCTCGGTAACATCAGACGTATTAATGGTCATAAAGTTAATTTAGCAAAGAGAAGGCCATTGTGACAGCAATGTACAGACATTAATCTCTGGAATTGCAGTGAAGTGGAACGGACAGATCTTTATCCACTCAGTACATGTTATACATGTTTTCAACACTACCTCTTTTGTTTGTATTGTTACAGTGTTGCAGCATTCAGATTGCTTAGATTTAAGGAACCTATTTTTTGGTTTGGGGGAAATTGTAGAGTCTAAAGAAAGTGTTACAAATAAATATTTTGAAAATTGGAGAGGGGGCTAGAATTGTGCTGTAACACAATGTTGTAAAAGATAATGGTCTTAAACCTACTGTTATTTGGTATGGAGAGTGCCCGTTTAGGACCCCCTTATGCTGATGTTTGCAGATGCTGCTCAAGTAGATTTGACTGAACCTTAAAATTCATTCCAAGATAGGGAATTACTTCCCTGGGAAAATACATTCCCATATGGGCATGATAAGCATGTGACTGAAGATGTTGTGGAGTTTCTTTTGATGCAGTTATACATGGGGAAATCCTGCTTGTTAGCCTTTCAGTTTCTGCTTAATGTGACATGGTGCTGAACAAAATTGTACCTTAATAAGAAATAACTTAACACTGTAGGTGATGTTATACTAGGTGGTGTTATTTTTTAAGCATTCACACAGGTTGACTTGTTTTGATTTAAACAGTTGGACAGATTACTTAATTTCATCAGTATCTTAACTTTATCAGTTTATTTTTCTTTTTAGTAAGCAGATAGAATACGAAACGGGGCATTGGGATATATCGTAGTGTAGCATGTCCGAAGCACTTCCTTTTAATTGATTCTCAGTCTGTTCTTTGGTAATAAAAGATTTTGTGTTGCAGTAGTCCCAGGCTATGACATAGGAACATACAGTACAGAAGGTTATGAACAAGAGGAGTCTATATTCAGCATATTAGCTAGTTAGTAGATCACCTAATTGATCTGGAGACCTTGCCCAGCCATGGTAATCACAGCAATATGGAAACTTCTTAATATTTAAGTTATAATTGAAATTATTTTTACATGAGGTATAGTGTACTGTTTTCCTAACCTGGTTTGTTTTGACCTGAGGGAGGGTTGACATTAACATGCAGCGTGTGCATTTCTGTATACCTCTTCAGATGTACTGTATGTTTTAAAAGAGCAAGTGTTCCGTGAATTATACAGGATGCAGAACAAAGTCTGTTAGTGGTCTGAAACGTATGAATGCAAAAGCCAGGGAGGTTTCAGCTTCATGGCACAATCAGCAGGAAGGTAAAGCTGTACACGAAGGTGAAAAATAGTAAGAAGTGCTTCAGTGAACGTGTTCCTGTACTGTTATAGGACGAATGAAGTCATTCCAGTCCCAGCAGGCCTTTAAGAGTTAAAAAGTGTAATAATCCTCTCCCACACCCCCCACACCCCAAATAGTTGTGAATGTTCATGCATTTTTTTCTTTAAACATATATTTATATAATATTGGAACAAGTAATAGGTTTATTCCATGCTGAAAAAAAGAAGAAAGAGAACACAACGTTTCGACCGTGGAGCCTTCTTCAGGTGTCAAGCCTCACCTGAAGAAGGCTCCACGGCCGAAACGTTGTGTTCTCTTTCTTCTTTTTTTCAGCATGGAATAAACCTATTACTTGTTCATTTGCAGCCTACGCATGCTGACGCAGCTACCCACCTGAACATATATATATAATATTATATAATATAGTATTGTTTTTTTCCAAATGCTTGATAATCAGTGTTGTAAACGCAAGTATCTTAGCAAATAAAAGGTCCGTCTGTGCAACACAGACACTTATAATGTCAGGATGCCCTTTCCTCAGCTCTTCCCTGGAGGTCACACCCCTCTCTGTTCTTGTTTTGAGTACATCTGGAGGTTCTTGGGGCTGGTTGTACGCAGGGCATGATTTCAAGTTCTTTGGCACACTGCTGTTTGTAATGTATCTGTGGCAAAAACATATTTACTGATGCACAACATTCATTATTAAAAACAGGTCATGATAATAAAAAAAAACGTTTGCTTCTTTCTCCATAGAAACGAAAGAAAATATGTGGAGAAGTACTGGAAAGAAATCCAAGTTGGAGATTTCATCCGTCTACGGTGCAATGAGATCATTCCTGCAGACGTCCTACTGTTGTCCTCCAGCGACCCAGACCGGCTGTGTCACATTGAGACAGCCACTCTGGATGGAGAGACCAACCTCAAACAGAGGCAGGTGGTCAGGAGTTTCATAGACCTGGTAAGATGTGGTTTACTAGCTTGTACTCTGTAGCACCTACCTTCCTCACCACCCTGTGACTTTCACCATAATTGTACCATTATAGAAACAGCATTATTCCCCAAATATATTAAGTCCCGGTATGACATACATTAGATTTTCAGACAAACACCCCTATAACTACATTCAGTTGTATTTCATGGTTTACAAATGTTTGTTTTGCTTTTTTATGCATTTCTAGCAATAATCTGACAGTTTTAAGTGTATAGTGTAATCAGGTCTAGTTACAGAACAGAGTTAGTTGTGGTTATTAAGTGTGTTATGGCTCTATGAAACATCTCCTTCATTATGAATCTGAAAACAAGTTGTTGATTTCAGATTCGTTATGGTCTTGGCTAAGTGCTATCTGTTGTATGTAGGCTGTACTATAGTTGATTTTCTCATCCATTGCTGATTGAGCCAAACCTCAGTTAAAAAAAAGTGTTGCTGGAAAAAATGATCAGTTTATGAACAACATTTCAGCATGGTTTTGCTTTCCAGATGTAGTCTCACTTTTGTGCCATTCTTTCTTACTTCCTTTTCCTGGACAAAATTCAGTTTCAATCATCAGTGACGTTCCAAAACATGTATCTCTATTTTTCTTAAAGTTTACAAGGGAAAAAATTACTATAAGAAAGTTTGTCACTTCACATTATTTAAGTGTGATCATAATGTATTGTAAATGAAGGATTCCTGATGTATTAGGAAGCAGTGTTTCCTGAGCTCTATATAGTCATTTTCTGGAAAAGAAAAAAAAATGGAAAGGTTTGGGAGCCCACTTAAAAAGTATCCACTCATTCTTAAAAATGACTCGTGTTAATTAGCAATTGGAGACCTAATTTTACCAGAAATTCACTTCTGGTTTTGTGGTACATTCTTTCCTCAAGGAGACCTCTTCGATGGTTATATTCATAATGATTTGCAGTTAATGATGCATAATTACCATTCGAAATAATTAAAATGCTTCTTTAAATGTCTTCTCATCCTGTGGTTCAGTGCCTTAGGACATCAGCTTTACCTTGTAGTACCGTACTGCAGGAAAGTGTATTTGAAACTGAGAACTGGAGGCATTTTTCACACAAAGGGTTGTGGGGATCGGGAGCAAGCAAGAGCCATGTTGAAGCTGATACCCTGGCGTCTGTCAAGAGTTATACTGTACGAGAGAGATCCTTGGTCACTGTCAACCAATCACACTAGTTGTACCAAATGACCTTCTCCTGCTTATGTTCTTATGGGGGAATATAATGTAAATGTCTAAGCTTCCTGTTGAGTTCAGGCATAAGTTTATGATGCTATTTATATTCTTTGTTATTTGCTCAGCTAACTCAGCTTTACTTAGTGCAAGATACTGGGTAGCTCCAAGACAGATCACCCAAGTGTTACTTCAGGCTGGCACGGTCTGAAATTTAGAACAAGCCTGCTACAGTGGGGTTTATTAGTGAGGCTGTGTGCTCTGTAGGGTGTTATGTACTATATAAGATAGAAGAGGAAGAAGGCTTTAAGGGACCCTTTGAACTTGGGTGAATTTGATCTTTCACTTTCCTGAACCACCTCTTCTTTTAAGCTTGTGAAGAGCACAGAAATGTGTGTGCATAAAAAACCAAACACGTACTAGACCAGGGACTGTGCTCATTTAGCTTAACTCTAATTGTTCTGTAAGTAACCATGTTCAGCCCAAATTAGGTCTTTAAATATTTTCTTCTAAAGTTGAGAAGTGTAAACAAAACATGATAAATGAAAAAATTTCATAATGAAAGGTGTGAAGTTACATCTGCCTGGAGCTGACTGTCACATACCTCCTCATTATAAGTTGTAGAGTTCATTAGTTAAACTTATATCTCCCATTTCTCTGCATCTCTATGCTATGCAGTTTCTGTAGCCTTTTCTGAGTCACTCTAGACTTCATGCCAGTTCCACAGGGCAGGGCTGAAGTCTTCATCTACTCTTAAAATCACATATAACAGATTGGGCTTGGAAAAGCACTTGAGGTGTATTGTTCATCCATAAAATTAGATTTATTAAATGAAAAAAATAAAAAGTGAAGTGTGCTTTTGGGACTTTTGTCTTCTTAAAACAGCTTTAACATAAAATTATAACAAGTTGCAACAATAGTGGCTTTTCATATACATGGGGAATATGTTATGTATCACTAAGTACCAGAAGTACTGGTATTGTAATGCATCAGCTCTGTTGACCACTACATATACTGTAGCTGCATTACTGGAAGAACATGGCACACAGCTTCATGTAACTGCTCAATATTTACTTTTGTTGTCCAAGAAAAAGTGTTCTTTTATGGTCTCTTTCATAAACCAGATTAAATGCTTCACAGTACATTGTTCAAATATAATGACTCTTTATACATTTATATATATATATGTCTATTGTACATTTAAAAGTTAAAAACATAAAGGAAGCATAAGTATAGTATATCTTGAAAAATCATTTCACTGATTAGATCGGTTTTAGAGTCCAAGCATAAACTACCACGCAAATGTCAGTTTGTATGGGGAGCACCTCACAGCCAGTCACTTGGGTTGAATTATTAGGCAAGGCAGCTACAGACCTCAAATAAAAATTTCAGTGCACCTGCAAATCATAAATTCTACCAAGTGCTTAATAAAATAAAATGTGCCATTTTATTGGTTTCAACCCATCTTAACAGCTCATGCATGGCTTCCTCTCATTTGTAACATTTCAGTCCATATTTGTGCATTTGGTAGCTAGAAGCTTATTGATCCAAGGGTGTTATCCTTGGATCAGTAAGCTGCATATTCTCAGGATCCCAGGGAATGTAACGTGATAGGGCAGCTTGTTGCAGAACTTATTTTTTTGCTTTGAGGATTTCATGCAGGTATTGGAGAGTTAGCAATCCAGAGCTCTCTGTGTAAAGATGTGCCTTTTATTTTCAGTTCACTTCCACTTCCTCTGATGTTCACATTTTCGGTTTGAAGATTTTGCTGTGTACAAAAGCAATCTATTTGGATTACTTTACGAGTTTAGGTTCTGTCAAGGGCCTTTATAATGTCCTCTCTTTAAAACTAAGAATGTCCATTTCTCCATTTGTGATTTATACAAAGTTTATTTTCCAAATAATGTCATAACCACAATTTGAGGTCTCTGTGCTGCATTTTCTACTTTAAATATGGTCTAACTTTCTTTAGTTTTCACTATCCAAACCAATATCCAATATGTTTTCCTTTTTTGTTTCTTTGTCCTAAATTCCTTTGAACATTCTGTTGTCCTTTTTGATTTGCATCCCCCTACTAGATGAATAATTACTGTATCCCGTTTGTAGTCTGTTTCTTCATCGAGATCTAGAGCACTCAATCGTGTGTTCATTTGCATAGATTAAGTATACCCTTAGCAAAAAGAAATGGGTGTCAAGTCCAGGAGTTTTCCTATGGGTCTCTGTCACGAAAGAATTTTACTCAAGCAACTTCTCGTATAACATTGTTAATATTTTGGTTGCAGGATTGTGAATTTGACCCCATGAAGTACAACAGTATCATTGAATGTGAGAAACCTAACAACGACCTGAACAGGTTCCGTGGATATATGTAAGTGTTTTATGTTTATTTCTTATTGACATCGATTGCGTCAGAGAGGTGACTGAACAGACAGAGAGATAGTTCTGTATCCCGAGCAGGTGCATTGAGGATAGATCAACTGCAAGAGAAATCCCCTCTGTGTATTATATAAAGAGCATTAATAATTTGTACTGCATGATAGTACCAACAGGCTTGACCCACCCAACACAATCAGCTCCTTAGTAACACCCGAAGGTAAGGAAACTACTGCTGCTGTAATACTGCTAATCCTGTTCTGGGAGAGAGGAGCTTTGTATAATTAGACTCCTAATACAAAAAATGGCTTCTGGGAATCCTATTAGTAAGTCATATCAATGCTGCTTGGTGGAGCTCAAAATCAGCTGATACAGGCCAAATGATTATGACATTTATATTGTGGTTTGATGGAACCCAGATGTCTGCCACCTTGTTTTAGCCTTCTGTTGCCAAGTTACAGAGGAGTACAGAGCTGGGTTCGTGCAGAATGTATTGTCACAGGCATGTTTAATTACATTATGGGCAGTGGCACCAAAGCTAATCAGGCCTTAAAAATCACTTTGTATCTGTAAGTGTGCTTCATGTGATGGTTAGGCAGGCTGTGAACCATGTGCACATGCGGATGAATCTCTAATAGCTGAAATTTTACAGTCTGTGGTTCTTTGAAGTGAATAGCTCAGCCCAGATTAGTAAACATGGTTTAACAGTCTTGTGTCAAAATGATGAAATAAGGGATAGCTTAAAGTGATGCACAATGAATCGTCTCGGTTACTGGTACTACACTGTCTAACAAGCAGATAAAGGTATAATGCTTGGCGGGGGGATGGGATTACAGCAGACTGTTCAAAGATTAATGCTCTTCCATTCAGTATATTTAGCACTTGGTGTTTAGTTTTCCTTTTCACTGGCCTTGAAAAGTTAGGTTTTTGCCTAGCACCTCTTAATTCTAAATACCATAGCTGATTTACGAGTGCATGAGAGTTTGCTAAAGATCAGGTTTCATCATTTCTGTTTTTTTAAACATTCTGATCATATGGTTCCCTTCCAACCAAAGCATCCAGTGTTCAAATGGTCTTTTTAATTTATTGTTTATTTGTCCACTATTTAGAAGCAAGTCACTTAGGCAAATCTGACAGAATTCAACAGCATTATTATAAAATAGACTGAAATTACACAATCTTTAGCTTGTGAAGATCAGCTCTTATGGGCACTTTTGAATCTATTGAGGTGAAAAGTGAGTTTTTTTTAAATGGTGGCACTAAAAGGGAAGCCACCTAATTTGATAGATTAAGCTTGCTTTTGAAAAGAAAGGTCTTAGTTTAAGATTCCATATACTGTATATATGGCACTATGTAGTTTGCAATATGATAGAAATTGCTGATCCTGCAGTATTAGGCTTATAACTGACTGTTTTCACAATTTAATTATGGGGGTTACGTGTATCATCTCAACTGATTTTCAAATACATAATATGAAAAAAATCTGAACAAATAACAGACTATTAACATTATCCATCAATCTGTTTTATAACTGCTTAACCCAGTTCAGTCGCAGGAGAAACAAATTATGCCGACAAGCAACAGGTGCAAGTTGGAGTGCTCCCTGGGCAGGATGTTAGTCTTTCAAGGGCACAGACATACTGTACACAGCCATACATTCACTAACACCATGGCCAGTTTTTACAGAAAAACTACCAGTATCCCTTTGGACTGTGGGAGGACACCAGAGTGCCTGGTGAGAGCCTGCACGAACATGAGGAGAACATACAAACTCCTCACAGACAGCACCCCAGGTCCAGAACTGAACCACAGGCCCCAGTGGTGCGAGACAGCAGTGCTAACCATTACACCACTTTGCTGCCCCTTACATTTATAAAACACCTTTCATACCAAAAGATCTCAAAGTGCATTACATATAAAAGAGGAAACCCACTTCAACCCCCCTGGAGAACCACCACACCCACCTGGGTCTGCAGCACCAGTAGCCCTCTACAAGGCAGGCTGGGGGAGCCATGAGGAATGACTTCAGTCTTTGAATGAAAGGGGAGCTTTAGATAGGTACACCCAGAGTGCAGTTTAGCCAGGACAATGGCGTTCCCTCCCCTACTGTTTCAAGAAGTGTTGTGACATATTGAATGACCAGTCCAAAAGGCAGCATCTCCTAAAGCTCAGTGTGCCCAGTCACTATACTGAGGCATTGTTTTGGAAATTCTGGTCCAGAGGGAAGTGTGAACCACACAGTGGTCCACTAAGACCTCTTACAGCAGTATCCTGGTTTCCTTAAACCCCCATAAACTGGAGCACATGGGGAAAATCCAGGGAGACCCCCTGGGAAAGCTAAGGTTGCTGCTGGAAGGGTTGTTAGTGGGACCAGTAGGGAGCACTCGCCCTGTGGTCTGTGTGGATCCTTATGCTCCATTGTAGTGATGGGGACACTAAACTGTAAAACGTTCCTTCCTGCCGATGATATGCAAAATCAAGGTCCTGGCTCTCTGTGGTCAATAAAAATTCCAGGGCTTATCTTGGAAATAAAGAAGGGGTGTTACCCCAGTGTCCTGGCATTAATTTACCAGTCATGGCCTCCTAATAATCTCCATCTATGAATTGGCTTCATTACTTCTGTTCTCCTTCCCACCGATAACTCCTGTGTGGTGAGCATACTGGAGGACTATGGCTGCCGTCACAACCATCAGGTGGAGCTACACATTGGTGGTGGCGGAGGGGAGTCCTGTGAAATGCTTTGAGTGGAGTGTCCAAAACAGTGCTATATAAGGAATTATTATGTTTTTATGTTAATGACTGTTTTACAGCATTCATAGGAGTGGACAAAGACATGGGCTTTACAAAGATAACCTCTTACTTCGAGGATGCACTATTAGAAACACAGAGGAGGCAGTAGGAATTGTCATTTATGCTGGTAAGCATTCTCTTTCACTGTATGTTTTATACACTTGACACATCGACTGATGTGCAAGGTAAAAAAACAGCAGTTCTGTAGTTCTTGATGTATTACAATATATTTTTCTTGTTTTTGGATGCTGTTCAGAATGCTGATCAGAATTGGTAGTAAGATGATAGTGTTTTACTTCTGGAAGTTTTTTTTTTAATTTTACTTACTCATATTGGCTTGGAATTGTGTGGTTTTGTGTTTTGGTAATGGTCTCATTTTGTAAAGAAAACTGTGTTCCATATAATATTTTTACAAATGTCTTAACATTGCAGGTCATGAAACTAAAGCTATGTTGAATAACAATGGACCACGCTATAAACGCAGCAAACTGGAAAGACAGATGAATATAGATGTATTTTGGTGTGTTATCATACTGGTAGTTATGTGTCTGTTTTCTGCCATTGGTAAGTCTCTAATTCTTAAGATATGGTTAATAGTTAAATTATAAAATTATCCAAAATCCTTTGACACAGATGCATTTTAGTTTAAATCTGTTTTCTAAGACAATTGACCTCTCACCTCTGCTAGAAATGTTAGTGAAATAAAAGTTGCAATTATAGTCTAGCACAAACACCTTCGGGACTAGGATCTGGGATTTACTGCTTCATCATCAGTATTTTTAGCCACAAAGTTATAGCATAACATGATCTCAATTATAAAAAGACTTTGGTCTGCAACTTTGAGTACTGTTGAATTGAAGATGGTATATTTTTGTGCTTTTTTTGTTCTATAATGTTTGACTAGATTATAGACTGTACAGATTAATCTAAAATTGAGTTTAAGCTTTTCCATTCTTCTTCTTTTAGGTCACGGCCTGTGGGTGTTTCAGTATGGGGATAAGCGGCCAGTTTTTGATGTCTTGAGTCCTGACGGAACAGACCTGTCTCCTGTTTTGTCTGCCATCTATTTATTCTTAACCATGATCATTGTTTTTCAGGTACGGCAACTATACAGTGTGTGGATCCATAGTGTTAAAACAGAAGTGCTCTCATCTTGTTGCTTTGTTTAAAATTTATCTCATGATTTAGGCAGATACAGATGGTCTCCCAGACGCAAACACAAAGTATATAGATTTTAATGAAATCTGAAGTTGTGACATAAATGTAATAATTCTGTCCATTTGGTTTTCATGCTAAGCTCCTTGGTGCTCTTAGAGTAACAGCACAATATTTCGTGTTGGCAGTGTTTAAAATTTAATAATGAAAGAAACTTGTAACAAAAACAGTGTTTATAGCAAAGTTGTGGGTGGGCTAAGAAACTGATGACACATGGTGATAACTTCTTAGGGTTACAATTTGTCTTTGGTCTGCACAATATTTTCTCTAGCACAGAATCTGTGAGTGCATTTAGTGCGGTTGTCTTCTACATTGAATAAGGGTGAAGGATGGAACTGAAGTGTAGTGCTTTTGTCGTTCTAGGTCTTGATTCCCATCTCACTCTTTGTGTCCATTGAAATTGTTAAAATATGCCAAGTGTACTTTATTCATCAAGACTTGGACTTGTATGATGAGGAAACAGACTCACACCTCCAGTGCCGAGCCCTTAACATCACTGAGGACTTAGGGCAAATGCAGTACATCTTCTCAGACAAAACTGGCACTCTTACAGAGAACAAGATGGTGTTCCGGAGATGCACAGTAGTGGGAGATGAGTATTCTCATGATGCTAATGGTGAGCTTCCTATCATGTTTAAGTCTCTCTTCTACTTTCTATGTGTGGTACGTAGAACGATTCAGGTGGTACGGTAGAACTGGACTTGGACAGTGTGCTACAAAGACACAGGCAATGCACATAGTAATAGGGAGGAGCGAAAGACACAATCTTTGAGGCCATATGTCTACCATCCTGCTCCTTTGCAATTTCTGTGGAATTTGCTTGTGTTCAGTGGTCATCACAAGCAGTTGCATTAGCAATGAGAAAAAATGTATTATTTTTATCAGTTGCCTCGCGTTTAGAGAAATGTTTTCATTACTTGTTTGTTTACTTTCCTTGCATAATGTTTGACAAACTTCCCTGAAGAAAAATTTGATTTCACTTATTGCAGGAAGTTAAATTGCTTTTCTTAATGCTTCATGTGGTTTTTTTTTTCCCCGAGGAGCAATTTGCACATAATGTCTTACCATCTACTTAAGATTTTATGCAAGCCCTATCTTGAATTCAGCCCTTTTCTAAAGATTGTACCCTTGTTTTTTTTTTTCCCCCAATCTTAAGCACTACCATGTTTGACGAGGATTTTTGTCTGTCATCTTGTACTAGTGCCATTTTCGTAGGTCATACATTTCAAACAGTCTTGAATTTTATTGTGCAAGAATGGCATAATGTATTGAATTTTAAATAGGGGAACACATGGATCTCCCATCTGTTAGAAAAGCTAGTCTTTCTGTTTCTTAAGAGAAGCTTGTAGTTTAATCAACCATGAATATCCTGAATAAACTATGACCATATTTAGAGTTTGCTATAAATATCTGCTTTAAAACTAGAAGCTCTACATATTTCTATCAATATTATTGGCTTCTTAGAAAAATCTGCCCTAGTACTTTTTACAGTACCTGCCTTATATGAGCTTTTTAACACATGCTACCAATGTAGATGGGAAAATAGATACTTGCATTCCACAATAAATAGTATTTATTTTTTTTAAATACATTGTCAGTTACTAACTCTTAAAGGCTAATGAATAATTAAAAAGTATTTTATTTTATCTACTTTTTTATTTTTTCTTCTGAATGTACAGTTTAAACAGAGCATCAAAAGGAACATGTGCTCTGGATTTTCAGAAAAATAAAGTTTCCAGATTTGGATATTGATTAAATGTTTTTAATTAAATGTGTTATTTTGATCAATTAACCATTCTTCACTGACTGTGATGCACACAGATCACCTCAGTGGTGAGAGTGTTGTTTGGGCACATGGTGTCATGCCTGGCAAATACATATCTGTTTTCCAATAACTTTGTGAATTTGTTGGTATTATAGGTTTATTTTTAACCCTCAGACTAATGTGTGATTGTCAATTTTTTTTTTTAGCCAAACATGAACATTTTCTTTGTTCTTTTCCTGCAGTAGTGTAACCTCATTAAAACGTATTGGTTGTTGTTTTCCCTTTGACTTTCTTCAAATCTCAAGCATGGCATTTTGTTTTTCGCTTTTGAGTAAGCAGCTACTTTAAAAGCTCATGTTGAATAAAACACATTCAACTGTTTTTTTTTTTTTGGGGGGGAGAGGCTGCTGTTTACTCTCTCGAATAACCCCAGAATGCCTCCTTTTGTATCTTTGGCTCATTTATCCCTCAGCCAGGAGATTAGCTATGTACCAAGAGGTAGATTCTGAGGAAGAAGAGTGCACGTCCAAAGCTGGAACCCTTCCCCGACGGGACAGCGTGACAAGTCACCAGAGCGCCAAGGTTGTCCACAGGTCACAGAGCACCAAATCTCACCGGAGGACAGGCAGCCGGGCAGAAGCCAAGAGAGCCAGCATTCTCTCCAAACACACTGCCTTCAGCAGTCCTATGGTTAGCATCTGTGTGCTTGTTTTTTGTTGGGTTACCGGTGTCTATGTGTACTCCTTTTTATGCAAAATATGTTATACCCTTCTCTAATCTAGGGATCTGGAGGCTTTCCTTTTGTTGTCCATTCATCTTTCATACAGTTATTCAGAACTGATGTTGTAAAATGAGCAATATTGGTCGGTAAAGACTCAGTTTGCAGCAGAAAATAGTTCTATAAGAATGAATGTGTGAAACAGAACAGATAGAAGAATTTAATGATGAAGTGGTTTGTAGTTTTCTTGTTTCAGTGCCAGTCATTTCAAATACAGACTCTTGAAATACAGTCTAGTGAAGAATTAAAAAATAGTTTATTTTTGTTCTTTTATAGTCTCAATATGCTTCAATACTGAGCATCAAACATCAAACACACAGAGAGTACTGTATGTTAATCTCCTTAATTTGTTTCTGATGATAACTTACTGAACCTGCATTAATCAAGTAAAAAATGATCTGTATGTCTGATTGGTGTACCACTGAAGACAAAATGTTTTAATATTGTAGGAAAAGGACATCACTCCTGACCCACAGCTGTTGGACAAGGTGAACGAGTGTGCCAGCCAGATGGACTTTATGAGAATTCATGGCCAGTCCTTGACCCAGCTGACCCCAGAGCTTTCCGATATAATTGACTTCTTCATAGCTTTAACCATCTGCAATACTGTTGTAGTCTCTTCTCCGAATCAGCCACGACAAAAGGTGACCTTTTTATGTCTTTGTTTTTTATTAAAAAAATGTATTTTCATATCAAGCTCAGTGATGCAAAAACCATGTCTAAAGCCTGTGAACAGTGTGTCTCAAAGCTTTATTTTATCGAAGGAAATGGTTTTCCATCAGTATTAAAAACATCATAAAAAAATGCATCCTCTCTTCAGAAGTTTAGAAACAGTGAACGTTTATAGTTTTCTTAAAAGCAGGGGTGTGAGTCTCTTGGGAACATACAACTGTGAATTGAGATATCCTGTGCAGTTTCAGCAAGGCTGTTGCATTGACCCAGGAGCAGGTAGTGTCATGTAGAAATCACAGCTGCTTCAGCCCAGCCTCTTCCCAGAAGTTTGTATCTGGCACATTATCGAACATCACAGGGTAATTGCTGGTTGTAGGTCTATTCCACATGAATGCATATGGTTTAGAGTCTCTTATTAAGTTGTTGATTTGAACACCTTTCATCTTATGCTGCTAATGCTATTTTTTCTGCATAAGTACTATGCAGTTTATTTTATTATTTTATTATGAATGTGTCGTAGGGGACACGGTCAAGGAAATAACTTTTCTTTCTGCCTATACAGCACATTAGCATCTTAATCAGCAAATATTTTGCATTGACCAGCTATTTTAATGCCCTTGTTTGCCTGGCTCTTTGCTGTTTCAAATCCATTATTCCCTCCTTATTTCTCTTCAGTGATGCACTTTTTCAGCTTTCTTTTCCACTTAATGTAGGGCATTTGTACCATCCAAACTCCTTTTTAAAGGGGATTTTGTAATCTAACAGTTTTGACACCTGATACCTAGGCAGTGATTAAACCATTGTGAGTGTTATCAATCATTTGTAAATAAACTTGCAGTGTGATAATAACAAACTGGAATGACAAGTCATGTCTCGCTTTTTTTCTAGTAAAGCTGAGTGGGTACAACTTAACGCAAGTGAGGATGGTTAGTTTTATGTGAAAAATAATTTTAGACAAATTTTTAAAGTTATTTGCGCTAATTTGTAAGACTAAACATTTTCAAACTTTACTTAATTTCGAATAGGTGCGAATGAGGTTTGAAATGAAATCTCCAGTGAAGACCATTGAAGACTTCATTAAACGTTTCACCCCAAGCCGCCTGACATCTGGTTCCAACAGCAGCAGCTCTTCCAGCCTGGCTGCCAATAGGTCTACCAACAGGACCACTTCCAGTGTCTTCTCTTCGCCTTCTGCAGAAAGCACTTTAATTAAACTGGATGAGGAGAAGCCCCACTCACCCAGGGGACTAGAAAATGTGCTCAGTGTTGTCCAGAAGGGCCTGGAGAAGAAGTGGGGGCCGTTGGAGGAAGGCGAGCTACGCTACGAGGCAGAGTCGCCAGATGAGGCGGCCCTCGTTTATGCGGCCAGGGCTTACAAATGTTCACTCGTGGGTCGGCTGCCTGACCAGGTCACCGTGGAGCTTCCACACCTGGGCATGCTGAACTTCGAGCTTCTGCATACTCTGGGGTTTGACTCCACCAGGAAGAGGATGTCCGTTGTGGTCAGGCACCCACTGACAGACCAGATTGTCGTTTACACCAAAGGAGCGGATTCTGTCATCATGGACCTTGTGAAGCCATGTTCTACAGGTAGGCTTCCCGTGACACATTATAGCTAAAAAGATATTTATGGTAAAGGAGAGAGGGAGAGAGGTAGTTCGCTATTACTAGAATGAAAAGCCACTCATAATTCTTTTCCAACACCTAAGGGTAGCAAAAGGAACTGGGCATGCTATGATTTTGTGATGTAGTAATTTGTATGTGAGTTATTTCTCATTGGAAATCTTTTTTGTGATCTTCAAAACATTTTGCATGGCCATGGTAGTCCTTGAGATGAATGGGTGCTTCTTGTTCCTTGTATGATGTGGTACTGATTATGATGTTATGAAACATCCCGTAATGGTGAGTTATGTAAGAGTTCCTTAATAAATCCTAGAACATTACATAATATTTTGAACTGATACGTGAATATAACATCTATAGAGGGAATTATTTGAAGTCATTGTGAAAGAAAGCTTTTAGGTACTCTTGATAAATGAGAAGAATGTGGAGTTTGACAAATTGTCAAACTTGTCATATATTTTACAAACATAGCTAGAGCAATTACACAACAATTACTAGCTTTATTAGATTAACATGATTAAATAAAATTGAACATGATTGTCATTTGTGTGAGTCTTTAATCTGGTAAATTGTGAATTTTCTCATTTTAAAAAAGTGATTATTCAGAGCTCTTGACAGTCAAGCTTAGATCTGCTTTTTCGTTTTTCATTTTATTATAAATCTTATCTAACTTAAAAACCGATTTGAAATTTTAAAACTGGAGTGGCCTGCAGCTACTACATGTCACGGTGGGCATCCATCCACACATAAGATTATCTGAAGATCTAAGCATCATAATTCATTATAATCATGATACTGAGTATTTTGACTCTTGGCCAACCTCTTAGTTTGTTCCTACATATGGATATAACTAGATGATAAAGTCAATTTCATCTTAACACAGCACTTGATTTCTTACCCACACTATTTACATTAAACCACTTATGGAGTTATGTAACAGGTTTTCACTTGCAGATTTTTAGCAAAATTCAGATGTAAAATATCAGGGCAAAACTATTCACCCTTATACAAAATTCCCACATTTTGTTGTTGCCTGAGCTTTTAGTCATGACACTTTCAAACAGGGTTTTGTATTTAGAATCTTCACAATCTGAGCTGATAAAGCTAAAAATACAGAAAGTTTGCAAATTTAATTTTTTTCCAAAAAGAGAAGATACTCAGTTGCATGAATTGCATTCAGTCCCTTTGCTGCAGCAATGCTAAAACAGTTCAGGTGAAAAAGAAGAGTATAAAAGGTCACATAAATTGTGTAAATGCTCTCTGTGCTTGATTAAAATGGTTTAACTTGAGTTCAGAGTAAATGCACCTGTTTCTGCAAGTTTCCTCACATGTGGAATTTCAAGCTACAACTCGCACAGCAGTCTGACAGATTGACTATGACAACAAAGCAAGTCGAGGATGAAGTGGCAGAGAGGCACAGATTAGGAGAAGTTTATTTATCCCATTGCATACAGTGAATTCAATCATTAAGAATCCTCCCCACTGATAGCTGATGTGTGGTGAGCGTTCTGGCGCACTATGGCTGCCGTCGCATCATCCAGGTGGCGCTACACATTGGTGGAGGTGGAGGGGAGTCCCCATTACCTGTAAAGCACTTTGAGTGGAGTGTCCAGAAAAGCGCTATATAAGTGTAAGCAAATATTATTATAAGAAGGGGAATGTGCATCATACCACCCAGATACTACCTAGATTAAGCCATCCTTGTACACTGAGCCGCCAGACAAGCAAGTGAGGTTTTTACAGTTCTATTTCTGTGATTGGAGTTCTTGTTCATACATCAACAATATCTCAGTCTCAGCACAAAGTTGGTTTGTATGGGTGAGTGGCATTAAAGAAGCTATTACTTCAAACTTAAATCTTGTATGAGATGTACTACTAACATGTGGCAGACGATTTTGTGGCCAGATGAGACAGAAAGTGAACCTTTTTGTCTCAATGTATAAAGAGTTACATCTGGAGGAAGACTAACAATACAGGGTGTTTTGGCGATAGAGAAATGTTATCGGGGGCGCTTTTGATTAGCGGAGTCTGAGTGATGAGAAGCATGTGGATGTGAGTGATGACCGAAAAAAGAACAGGCAAATCCTAGTGGGAAAACCTGCCACTCAAGCACCCAAAAATCTCACACTGGTTTCAAAAACATTTTAGCAAGACCATAATCTCAAGTGCAAGACCAAAGCCATATGAGAGCTACTTGCTTATGCAATCAGTATATATTACTTGTCATCTTTGCTGGTTATGACCAGCAAAAAATCAGTCATCTGGGTATACTCTACGCATTCAGTTTATTCATTGGTTTTATATAAAAACCCAGTTGATTTGAAAAAAATGATGTATGCATTCATGTCATATATTGAAAGGACATAAATACAATACAAAGGACTAGATAAAGGAATTATAGAATAACCAATAGCCTAAATCCTGTGACCTTGTGACTCCTGCTGTAATTATACGAGTTTGTCAGGTAATCATGACTGATTGTTGTGTTTCTCTTTAGAAGACATGTAATCAGAAGTTAACTAAGTAAGAGAAGACATGTTTACAATTAATGTTTTAAATTACATCTGCACACAACCACTGATACATCATGCATAATGGCATACAATATACACATCTGCAAAATATCTTCCTGCTGGCCTGGAACACGTTCAACCTGGAAGCTTATTTGAGTGATTAGATTTGAGCATTTTAAAGAGAAAGCTAAATTTGTCAAGATCAATAAGATTCTCCATCATTTGCAATGAACAGAAAATATTAAAAAGAGGAGTGTTTTGCTCAAGTCATTGCTCTTTTCCGTATTTTCAGGTTAAGGTGAAAAGTCATTTTCTCCTTCAGATACATCTTCTATATATTGTATCTTTTCTCCAGCTCTTAAAACAGAATCCCTTAGATAGGAAGACTTAGATTAATCACATAACACTGAGTCACGAACAGCTCATCATGTCTCAAATATTAGTCATTAGTTGTGGTATGACCAAGGCAAGGAAAGTGAATAATAAAACTCCAGGAAACCTTTGCAGTGGCAGAGTATTGCATTAATTAATGCAGTGCTGTTGTCAGTAGAGTCATACAGTGCTACACTAGATACCACCTGCCCTTTCTGCAGTGCTTTGCTTTCATTAGGGCATTGTTTTGCTTTCACAGAAAAGTAAAGGAGGCTCAAGACAAATCTACAGGAGACCTCACTTCAACAGAAAGTAGAAAAAATTCCTTCAAATTATACAGCCCCTACAAAACTTCTATTCTCTTTATGGCAAGTATTTCATATAATGGCAATGTGGAGCACATGTATTTAGTGAGCCTTAATCACTCACCAGCCTGCCTGTTCCTTCGAAACAGGTGTCTGCGAAACGTGATGTAACACGTGTCATTTCCACTCTGGGTGGACCCTGGCAACGAGCAAAGGAACATTCTGTAGTTTTACAGTCCAAACTGCGTTTCCTGTTCTCCTAGACACTGTTCACAGTGTGTTGGTTTAAATGTTCCCATAAGTTCTCTTAGCTCAGCCAGTGTTGAAAGATTCCAGTGTTTTGCTAAAAATATATCCCTTTTTTTCCAACATTTTGGTAGTCATTTCCCGCTGTAGCGTAATGTGATGCTAGAACTGTGAAATGGTGCTGCAACGATTTGAAACATTTCTAAGGAGGTAATTAAAAGAATACAGCAGAAGTGCTTTTTGCTTTCACTCAAAACAGTATTTCTTAATGTGATGTTTTCTTTGCTCTGAAGCTTTTTTTATTGTTAATGAAATCACATTATAGACCTATGATCCATTTAATAAAGGAGGAGCAAAGATTTTAAGAATGACTCTTGTTTGCTTCAGGTTCTGTCTGGAAAGGTTTTAAACTGTGATATTTTTTTAAGAATCGTGTGTTTCGTTTTAAATCTGTAGCTTACACCACACATAGACCAAGTCTTTAGCCTTGCTGCCATCATTTATCATTTCATTAACAATAATAGCAGTATTTCATTTGAGAAGGGGGTAGCCACCAGAAAAGGGTCCTTGACACTGTATTTCTTTAAGCCTGAAAGAATGAATGTTAGGCTTAACACCTGTTAATGTGCCTGTGGGTTGACTTAACCTAAGAAGTGAAAATATGAGACTTAAAACAAGTTCCAAAGAAAATCAAATATGCAGCCAAGCTGTATAGGACAGACAGCCACATGAAGATGTGATTCCCCCCCTTGAAGTTTCTTTAATTACTTGGCTCGATAATGTCTATGGGCATTTTACAGCCAGCAAAAACCTTCAGCAATATCTGCACTCTACACTAAGGAGTGCTTGTTGGAAAGATTCAAAACCTACTTCTATTTATTCATCTTCACAGTACCATTACTTCCAAACTTTTCCAACCTTTAGGTTTCTTACTTACACTTCATTTTTAATTGTGTTCCTCCTAGATGATGCCAAAGGAAAATGGAGAAGAAAAATCTTAAATAAAACTCAGCATTACCTTAACTTGTATGCTGCTGATGGACTTCGGACACTTTGCATTGCTAAAAAGGTAACTTTGTTTAATATTTGTTTATGATAATCTGAATTTTCTTCAAGAAAATGGCTTAATTCTTTCCCAAATTACCCAAATTTTGCTTGAGTAATGTGAATCTATGCAGATATATACAAACATTTTTTGCATTATATGCGCTATTTGAACATACAAAGAATTAAGGCTATCATTGTGTGGCATTCATTATTGCTTGTGAGAGTATGTTATTTTCCTATTCTCCACTGCAATCTAGGTTTAGCCATGCCTGTTTTTTCCAGTGTTAATTCATGCCGTTTATCATCTTTTGCAGCTAAAACCATTCATAAATTTGTTTCTTCCTGCCATATGTGGAAAAAGAATCATTTTTTGAAGATTTAAGATTGTGGTGGTTTACTTGTTGTACTTTTTATCAGTTCAAATTATTTTGCAGTTTTATTTTATGAGTTCTATGTTTTTAAAATGACAGCTGCTATACATTATTGTATCTCCTAATTGTATTTCACTGTTAAAGTTGTGAAATAAGCACATATTCCTTTAGTCATTTTACGCTGAAGTCTTCAGTAATGGAATGTTATTGGATCTTCTTTTTATGCTGTATTATTTAGGGAAGTTGCTGTACATAATTTGTTTGAATTTGCTTGCTTCTGTTAAAATAGGCAAAAAGTTTAAATAGACAAAAAGTAAAATTACAACTATATTGATCGTGGCAGTGATTCCACTCTTTGTGCTTCTTAGGTTCTTAGTAAGGAAGAATATGCAGGTTGGCTAAAAAGCCATTTAGAAGCAGAAACTGCTATTCAGGGGCGTGAAGAATTACTGTTTCAATCAGCTCTGCGCTTGGAAACAAATCTTCATCTTTTAGGTAAGCAAATTTGCAAAATCTTGATTACCCATTCCCTTAATGCTGAATTAATAACCTTGCAACTCTAGAAAATGTTACATTATCATTGTAGCACAAAATAAGTAGCATTTTTTTTTCCGAAATGCTTTAAAACCTTACATGGTATTTATCCCTCACATTGTGATATCTGAAAATTATTGATTGGTATGCTGTACGTTATGGTCAGTGTAATGAGTTTTACTCAAATTATATCATACTGTATGTGTGATGCGAGTTTAGGTGCAACTGGTATTGAAGACCGCTTACAAGAGGGGGTACCAGAAACTATTGCTTCACTCCGGAAAGCTGGGCTCCAAATCTGGGTCTTAACTGGTGACAAGCAAGAAACAGCCATAAACATTGCATATTCCTGCAGACTTCTGGACCCAGAGGAAGAGATCATTACTCTAAATGCAGAAACGCAGGTGAGTGAGTAGAAACATCAGCTTTTAAAGCAGAGTAGAGCAGTGCTTAGCGTTCTAGGCTCGTAACTAGAGACCCAGGTGGGACACTGCTGTTGTACTCTTCAGCAAGGTACTTCAGCTGAATGGCTTCAATAAAATGCCCAGCTGAATAAATGGATTCAAATGAGTAATGCTTGTGGATCAGAGTATCAGCTAAATCAATATATAATAAACTCAACATGAATGCATATTTAAAGCATTAAGCTTCAGCATCTTCACTAATGTTTTTTTTACGCTATTGAAAAGTGTATACAAGTATAAAAAATGTATCTCTGTAATACACGTTTCTGTGAACAACACTCACTTTTCTTGCATGGATTACTCCGTGTGTATACAATATATAAAGCTATCTATCTGTTTTTCCTGTGGTAGTGTATGTGTATGGTTACATGCATTACTAATTGAAGACTCAAAAGCAGAATTTAGTCTTTGCATGAATGTTTCCCTTACGATGGATTATTGGCCAACTCCCTGAAATGACAGCTGGGCATTCCTTTTGGACCCTATCTGGTCCATCTGGTATACATTAATGCTGAAGAAGCTATAAAAGAATGACAGAACTTGGTGTCTCGCCACATTTATTCAGAGTCATTGAATGATTTGTTTCACGGACAGTTTTGTTTGCTGGGGCATTGATCTGGAAACCAGATGTAATGTGAAAATTCCTGATCCCTCAAGATGGTGATTGTCGTTTTCTTTTTGATCCAGGAAGCATGCGCTGTGTTGCTGGAGGAGAGTTTACATTATATCCAGTCCAAGTTTTTCGGTAACATCCCAGACAGCGCTGCTCCGGCCTTTGACGAGGACTTTCCAGCTTTTGAAATGCCTCCCTCTTCCTCCTTTTTGGTTCACCGCCTGGGCTTGGTTATTGATGGAAAAACCTTGGCCTATGCACTGGATAAAAGCCTAGAGGATAAATTCCTTGCTGTGGCCAGGAGCTGCAGATCAGTGCTGTGCTGTCGGTCCACTCCATTGCAGAAAAGCATGGTGGTCAAACTGGTTCGAAACAAGCTGAAAGTAATGACCCTGGCCATAGGCAAGTATCTGGGTAGCCTTTTATGGCTGATAAACAGTTTCGAAAGTGATCCTTTGACCCAGTAGGTGAATGCTACACATTATTTTTACTTTTTAGTTTTGGGTTTATAACTTATGCCTTTTAAAACTAAAATGTCGACTCCTACACAGTTCAGCTGCAAAGCTGTCTATAGTGTACAGTTACAACCAGATGAAAAAAATGTGTGTTTATAATAAAAAAATATCTTTGGGTCATCATGAGACTTTTAAAATGTAAATCAGATTCACTGCCTTTAAGGTCTCTTTTTCATCTGATGAATACTTGTGGTTTTTCAGTGTACAGAAAGAAGTCAAAAACAGATTGCCAAAATGACTTGCATAACTGTCACGGCATAAATGAAAGCGTGACCAAGCTCTAACCTCATGTGTTAGTTTTAACAAGGCTACAAAGTTATCCTACTTGTCAGAGCCACATTGCAAGGCTGGGGATACCCTCCTTCTTACTCTAAAGAATGTTGAAGGTTCACTTAGGACACACAGAAGCATTTTTTCTCCCTGTAGAATCTGTGGTCTGTTGTTTGCTGAGTGGTTGAGATGAACATAGATGATTTTAAAAACAACATGAAAAATTAAAAAATCTTATCAACATCAGAGTTTTTTTTTTACTGAAGCTCCTTCGTGGCTCACATGTTAAGTCTCTGCTTGAATTCCAAAAGAAGTTCAGTCATACGGAGTGTACCAGTACACACCCAAGCTATGTCATAAACTGACTGTGGTCTAGAGTCAGAGTCTAATTCATCAGATTGGTATCAGAAGACACAGAAAGGCAAATTAAATCCATCTTGGGATCTGAAGCTAGGCTGAAAAAAACTTAATCAAACTCCGAAATATTGTAAGTCATCTCTTCTGACAGTGATCCATGTTGTTCCATTGAACAAATCCAGAGATACAGCAGGGAGTGGTAAACGTGAGGAAAACAAAACTGTTTGCCAGTTTTATTTTCCTGTAAAGTAGCAAAATATTTTAGCAGTCGCAAACCAACTGTGGTTTCGAGCTCCCAGGCCATACTGCACAATGGGCTTAGGGACTATCAGGGTTGAATAGGTACCACATCAGCAGGAAGATCCCTGGTCTTCTGTGCACTAGTAATCTTAGATTGGGCTGTCAGGTAGGCTTGTCTCCACTCCAGATGTCATTAAAACCTTGCTCCCTGTGACCTAGTTCGCAGTGTGAAAAGAACAGAATGTCATGATGATGCACAGATCGTGAAGGATTAGTTTATCAGCCTGTGGTTCAAGGTGGCAGCAGTACTTTGTGGAGGGGTAAAAAACAAGAAAGGTCATAAGTCAAATTAGTTAAATTACTGATTATAAAATAGAACTTAAACATTGTCAGTACTAAGCTATTTCTTAACTATTCTTCCTTCCATCTGAAAAATCTGATATTTAAATAGTTTTAAAAGACATACAGTAGTTGCACAAATATGTTGTTTGGGACAAAGGTGACATTGTATGCTTTTTGTTGTAGGTAATGTTTGTGCTCCTAATATACTGTAGGCTTCATATGCAATTGCAGATGTTTATAAGTGTTGCATTGTCTTTCTCTAATAATGGCATGAAATGACAGAATTAAAATATGTGATATGATACCAGCCTAAAGAACTGCATCAAACCCCACAACCTTCTGGATATGACAAATCTAGAGACCTTACATCAGCAGGGATTGGAAATTGAGTAATGACAAAATCTAGCTTAGAATGTCACAAGCAAAACAGTATACTGTACATACAAATGTGTAATGTTTACAGCTAAATATCTTTCATCCATCTGAAATGTCTTGTTAAAATAGAATAGGAAGCTAAATAGTATAGAAGAGATTCTTTGCTCAAGAGCACTGTATCTCAGAATGACTTTCAAATTATTCATTTGAAAGTGCTGGAGATGTTAAGAAAGGGGCATCACATTGACTTCTTCCATAAGGGAGGTTTTTCTTGTAGTCAAAAGAGCCAGTAAATGCAAATCCAGCGATTTGCGCATCTTGGAATATTTGCATTCTTCACAACTTAGCTTAATTCAGTTATTTAATATAAAAAATTAACCACATGCAAATACATAACCTGGCAGGGTGTAGGGTATGTGAGGTGATTTAAAAGCAGATCTGCACAAATTTACTTTTTGCTTTCTTTGGCTTTGTTTGTACAGCACTGCTCACATTTTGCTTGCTCTGCATTCTGCCATCATTGCTGTGTTTGCATTAATCACACCTGACTTTTTGAAGGGACAAAAGGTAAATGCATTTTTCCTTGTGTCCCAAATGAATCCTAGGTGATGGAGCGAATGATGTCAGCATGATCCAGGTTGCTGATGTCGGAGTTGGGATTTCAGGACAGGAGGGCATGCAGGTAAAAGTCTCCGCTTGTAAAAAATATATAAGCAGGACATACAGTGTAGCGCGTGGCTCAGGGGTGGTTTGAACAAAAGAAAATAAATGTGCCAGAGACACAAGAGAGGTAATAGTTTCCATATGGCTGCATCTTACATACGCAGTCAACCAAAGCAGCTGACTTTCTTGTCAGGCTGTGCTGTTAAAATTATGAAGCTGCAAGTTGCCCTCGGGAGTACCAGTGGGTCTCGCTCAAAATTGTTCTTGCTTGAAATGCACCATATGCTCCCCCCAGAATAAGTCTTTGGGAGTGTTAAATCACTTCTGTCTTGAGCCCTTGTTAAAAAATGAAGTTGTCCGATCACCTTTGTGAGTGAGAGGAACAGGAATAAAAGCTAATCACATTCCAGTGAGCAGAGTATTTATAGTCCTGCAGTCCAAAAGGTGATCATGCATATAAATTTAGAATTGAAATTCCAAATAATCTGGAAGCAAGGTACCTCAGCAGACAAACCAGAACGCATCTGTTAGAATAGTGGGGGTGTGGTAAATAGGATAAGATCCCATACTCCCGCAACTATGTGTAAAAAAAAGTGTTACATTTTCTGTGTACTTGCAAACTGTGGTGATTTTCAAATCCAACGAGTGTGATTTTGAATTGAAATGTAAATGTTAGTGGAACTCATTGTATACCAGTTTCATTATAGTCTTTTAATAATATTGCCAAATCTTTTTCTCCTGAAGGCAGTTATGGCTAGCGACTTTGCCCTGCCACGGTTCCAGTATCTGCAGAAGCTTCTCTTGGTCCATGGGCACTGGTGTTACTCTCGTCTTGCCAACATGATCCTTTATTTCTTCTACAAAAATGCTGTAAGCCATTTCTTTTTACTGTAATGTATCCATATAACATTGTAGGTTTTGTGGTAGTTTGTAATAACCTTGTCAGTTTAAAAAATTACCTTCTGAAGTACAATTCAGAATGTTTTTTTAGGAATAGGAACAGAAGTTTAAACTGTAAGCTAAACAAATTCACCTAAGCACATAAATCAACTTTAAAATATGTAGTTCCAACTATTCTGTTGTGAATTGTTTAATACTGTATATTAGGTGGTGGAATTCAATTTGTTCTTCTTTTCTTTCTTGGGTTTCTTGCATCACTCTTATTGGCATCACTTTAATATCCATTTAATAGGCCTTTCATATTATTTCATGGGTTTGATTACAAAATATACGAATGCAAACATATTGTATCATGTAAAGAGCATTATATTTGTAAAACAATTATATTTGATTACCAGTGCTCTGTGATTTTTGAAACAGTTCATCTATTTAGCAATACACCCCATAGTGAAAGTTTATTACAATGCGTGTCAGCCGTCCGTATGCAAAATCACTCTGCAAAAGATTGCCTTCTCTACATTTCTCTCATCATGTTTTGTGGTATGGGTCCGTCAGGAATGGAAAGGGGAGAGCACAGACAAAAACTACAACAAAAACCAATATTGGTATTAGTCATAGGTTGTCAGTGATAGTATGAGTCAAGCACCATCTTGCTATGTTTATTTTTGGGTAAGCAGTCCTCATTTATGGTTTAGTTTCCCAGTATTTTATTGTTAATAATCAGAGCAACATAAATTAGGGTTATTTTTAAGTTGTAACTTCTTCTCTCTTTTGTAAAAATGCTCTATTATGGTATCTATATAATTATATAATATAGTATCTTTAGATATTTGTCTGTTTCACAGAAGGGGAGCAGTAAAAAACAGTAATAGAAAACAGACTGTGCTGCAAGGCACTGCTTATGCTAGTCTTAAAACATTCGATAAGATCTAATAGGTTTTCAGTCTAATTAATATATGATGATTATTTGAAAGTATCCATTAATTAAATAAACTGCTTAGAAGCTTTAAGATATTTGTGGATAGAAAGAGTGCAAGTTTATGTAGCTTTCTAGGGTTCCTCATTTCAGATCCTGCAAGCTGCTACTCTTAATTAAACCATCTTGATTATCATTAAAAATGTTTTTACAACACTGCAGAGGGCACTATAAAGTGGAAGGTTTATATTTTTTTCTCCAGTATGCTTGCAGGAGTTTTTGAAATATTGCTTGTTTCCCTAGGGTTCTGTGACATCTGTGAAACACGCTACAGTATTTCTGTGCATTTCTGTTTTTAAAAATCACCAACATTATAAGATTATATAAGAAATCTAAGATTTTGTTGTGACAACTAATATTAAATGGAAGTGTCTGGTCACGCAGTTTTACTTAACATTTTCGTTACAACCCTATTCACCAAATTTAGTACTTGCACTTTTTATATCAAATTGGTGATTTATACAATATATCCCAGCCTCATCATTATGGCTGAAATTAGCTATATTAAATGAAGAAAAGATTCTCATGTGTCTTTACATGAAGTCCCTAATGTGCTTTTTTCCCTTTTTTTTCTTCCTTTTCAGATGTTTGTAGCCCTTATTTTCTGGTACCAGTTTTACTGTGGGTTCTCGGGATCGGCCATGATCGATCAGTGGTACCTCATATTCTTCAACCTGATGTTCTCTGCCTTCCCTCAACTGATTACTGGGACCCTTGACAAGGACGTTTCTTCAGAGACACTCTTAGCCCTACCTCAGCTCTATAAAAATGGGCAGAGCTCAGAGGTAAAGCTGACAATGGGAGAATTGTGGCGTTCCTCTCCCTTATGCAGGCTTTTCAATATGTTTGGACATTTTATCATGCCATGAAATTAGGTTGTGTTTACTGCACTTCCTTCAAATGCTAATTGACTTGAAGTCTCAAATGAAACTACATCCACTACAATCATAAGAGATGCTCCATCTTGTCATATTATTAAGAAAAGGAACACTGATGCTTAAAGCACTAGTTACTCCATTTCCTAGACTTCTGCTTTGGATAAGGAATGAGATTATCCTATCCTTGAGGGCAGAAAGGCCCCCTGGTTAATTACTGGACTAAACCCATTTTAATTAAGTCTTCAAATCACCTGATTTTAGATTGTATTTTTTTTGTTCATCGAAAGATTCACCCATGAAATCTGAACGACTGACATTCAATGACTACAGTGGCTCATCTTTTAGAAGTTTATAAAAAAAATAACAGATTCTGTGATACAGCTTCTAAAAACCCTTAATAGCTGTATGTTTTCTGATAATTCTTACAGTACTTTGCTGTTACTGTTGCTCACTATATATCTCCACTACATTCGCCTTGCGATCTCTGTTGAAAGATTATCTGAGGAAAACCTACCTAGTATTATTATTTTATCACAGAAAAAGCTACTCAAAGACTTATTACTTCCATAAAGAATCACTTTATATGTGTTGCTCTCTGTTAAAGTTTGAAAAAGTTAATGGAATCATGAATTACACAACTTGGGTAGCAGGTCCACAGCCCATGACCAGGAAATAAGTAATTACCTCCAACTTCAAGCAATTATCAAACAATTCTGTTTTTGAAAAGGGACTGTTAAGATCAGTATAAACCCAAAGAATATTATAAAACAGTAGAAGGTGTTTGAATTTGAAACTTGCCTCTCAGTGTTGTCTGGCCTCAGATTTCTGTTGGAACAAAGCTCACAAAGATGGACTACACTATAAATCATTATTGATTTAAAATATCGCCCCTTTTCTGACCCAAACTTATGCATTCTAAAACTGTTGTCTGAATCATAATGCTTCCTTGGTCTTTTTCCAAAAAATCTTTAATAATTGTCAAATGTGAATATGCAGTATGTACAAGTCAGAGAGATGATTGATTTAATTTTTTTTTTCTTTTGCTTCTAACTTTGTAAAATTTCACGAAAAAAAGGTTTTGGAAAAGTTAAGCATTCCTTCTTAAGACATGAACCAATGTATACTAGTTTAAACTAAACAGATCTTTCTCGAAATTGTTTACAAAGGGAAAAAAAGAGTTCATTGTCTGGTCAGCTGCCATTAGTAGAGTAGGACATATCTGTGGGTACAGGTCATCAAAGGTTTATCACGGTTCTGGATGACTACAATTGAGAGTTCTAAAAATAGACAAGGGAAAGGTTAGCTTAGGACAATGATAGGAGAGTGTACCAAAGAAAGGAATATATACTGTAGACAATTCAGTTACTACGCTGCAAGCAAATAATGTGACTACCATTGTAATTAAATTGCAGGAGCACTCTGGCTTGGCAGATTTCTAGATTCTATTTATTCACTTTTAATTTTATTGGTTTAGTTATAATTTGGTATGCCACATCATATTAATTATTTTGTCACAAGATCAGTGTTGATTGAAAATTCTTTTTTTTTTGTTAAAAACGCTATATATATATCTTGATTTATCAGTATGTGTTTTTAACAATTCTTATATTTTCTAGGAATATAAGCCATACATGTTCTGGATGAATATGATCGATGCTTTCTACCAAAGCCTTGTCTGCTTTTTCATTCCATACTTTGTAAGTCCCGTTAAACTCCATGAGCTCCCTTTTAAGGCTGTTTATTCCTGACTCTCATTCATATTCCCAACTCCCTGAATATTTCTTTCTTTCAGGCCTATGCTGACTCAGATGTTGACTTGTTTACATGGGGAACACCCATCACCACATTGTCCCTCTTCACAATTTTGTTACATTTGGGTATTGAAACCAAAACGTGGGTAAGCACACTACTTTTCTACAAATAAAAGACTTTAGGCATTTATGGAGTTAGAAGTCTGTGTATACTGCTTGTGAGAGATTAAACAGTAATCAAAGCATATTTTATGGAGCTGGTAGAAATAGTAAACAGTAAATACTGTTACTGTTTTAAAATAAAAACTATTGGTTCATTCCAAATCTTAAATTGGTTAATGTGGTCTTGTTTCCCACACTAACATGATTCAATTACATTTTGAAAGTATGTGTTTGTGTACAGTATCAATGCTGTATTTACATACCTTTGCTTTCATTTTATTGAGGTGAAATGGATAAGTAACCACTCCATTTGAATTGTGTATTGTTCCCTGACAACTTGCTCAAAAAACACAAGGGATCTGTTTGGTGCTCTTCAAGACATCCCATGTTCTCATACTGAACAGCCTTGTTCACAGCAAATACCTCACCGATGAGAAACATTTTCAGACTTTGAATTGGCAGGTTTAGTATTCTTCCAAGGAAAATTTAAGCATCCCCTGGCAGGCAGATGTGAAAGCCATCTGTAGCAAAGCAGAAAATGAGAATTCAAATCATGCTTTTTTTAACATGGACAAACATTTTTTTTACCTTGTTCTCTATACTGTTTGCAATACAGTAGCTCCATGGCCATGGTAGACTTAACATAATATTCCTGTTTTATTCGATAAGCTAGAAGTCAATATGAAGTTGATTTGTGTATGATATTAATTTGATCTATTTTTATGTTTGTTTTAGACATGGCTCAATTGGGCCTCCATTATTTTCAGCATCACTTTGTTCTTCATGGTTGCTTTTTGCTACAACGCTTCCTGTCCCACATGCTACTCTCCATCCAACCCGTACTGGACCATACAGAGGCTAATGGCAGACCCGCTGTTCTATTTGTTTTGCATTGTCACACCTGTTGTTGCTTTGCTACCAAGGTTAGTGGTGTGTATAGTCTTTACTGCCTGAGATATTGTCATTTAATTTAGTCCATATCATCTTTAATCCTTCTTTTAAATATTAGACAATTAGAGACTAACAGCTACTCTGTGATACAAGTATTTTATTTATTCCTTTAGCATATCCAGAAATGCATTTACTGATGTAAAGTCTTGTTTTATCGTTTTAATCCTTATCTAGTAAGCTTCATAATAGACTCTCGGATTGCAGCATGTTGTTGAAGGAATTGTGAGTTTTGTTCTAAAACGACGATACTTGGCATATATAGAGAGTTTGCCCTGCTTAGATAAGGACCCAAAAGAAACTTTTTAAAATGGCTACCATTTTCGTGACCACTGTAATGAGTACAGAAAATTCAAACTTTTTTTCTCCAAATCGCATATCATGATAATGGTTGTTTACTTACAAGTATATAGAGGTATTAAATACACTGTTTATTGCTCTGATACATGATTCCCAAATGCTGTGATCATCATAAATGCTTCACTCCAAAAGCCTTTTGGACCTAAATAATTTTAAGGTGAGGGTTTAAGCTACAGACAAACGTCTTGTGTAAATATAATTATCAGGTTTATCAGGCCTGGATAGTGTTCTATAAAGCTCATTTGTCCGGACTTTGACTGGGCCACACAAGGACATGCCCTTGACTAATTCAGAGAGGCTTTGGCCCGGTCCTGCTGAAATGTAAATGTTCAGTTCAGTTTGGAATCTGGGCTGACTGAAGTGAAAATTCCTCTGGGATTTGCCTGTTCTGCTCATTCCATTTTTTCCCTCCATCCTGGCAACCTCCCCAGTCCCTGCTGATCTCCTTAACATGACACTGCAACCACCATGCTTGGGTTGGGATAGAACTTGTTGGCTCTGGTCTTGCTCCTGACACAATTCTTTGCATTTAGAACATGTACTTTTGTCGCTTCTGTCCATAAATCCCTCTCTTGCATGTCTGCAGAATATCTCATATGCGATTTAGGATGCCCTTTTCACCCATCTAGCCTCTCACCCATATGCCCCGGGGATTGGATTATCAGCTATTGTCGGCTTGGAATGACAGATACAGAACTTTGCAGATCCTTCAAAGTCTCTGTTATCTTCACAGTGACATCCCTAACTAGTTCCCTGCTTGCTTCACCACTCAGTTTGGAGCCCATCCTGATCTAGGTGTCTGGGTGGTGTGATACATATTTTATTTTTTAGTACTGAACTTGACTGTACTATAAGGAATAAGAAGCCTTTTTTTCTAATCTGTGCCTCTCTATCACTTCATCCTACACTATGGGTTCAAGTCTGAAGTTTAGCCACTTATCACACAGAGACAATTACACTATTTATATGACCTTTTTAAACTATTTAAGATTGTTATAGTAGACAAGTAATGGTTTGAATACCTAAGCAGTTACACTAGAAGTATTGTAATTTTCTTTAACAAATCTTAAGTTCTAGTATTTACATACAGTACTATCAGAATCTCATCTTTATCACATTATAGCAGATTGTGTAGATTAGAAATTAGATTAGATTGTGTAGATTGTGTAGATTAAATATAGTATTTAAATGTGTTATGATTGCAAGCCCAGACATCTGCGAAGCATGCAGTCTTTCCTTCAAAGAGGGTCACAACTTTTTCAAGGCACTGTGTATGATAGAAGCAACCCTGTTTTTTGGTATGTAAAATTACTGGCTTTTTCTGTTTGCAATCCATAAAGGTCTTCACAAGTTTCAGAAGTAGCAGCTGCTTTCAAAGTGGTGTCTGTTTTGAACAGTTTCACTCCATATTTAATAATAATGAGTAAATCAAACTCTGTATAAGTGTACAATTTAGTGCTTTTAGCACAAACTCTATAGTTTCTCACAGTTCTGCTGGACTTTAACATTCTGTTCTTTGTATTTTAGATATTTCTACCGGGCTTTTCAGGGCACTTTATTCCCAAGCCCTGTCCAAATAGGACGCCAACTGGATAAGCTCTCGCCAGACACCCGCAGTAATATTCTAAGTCAAATGAAAATAAAGGTGGGATCACGATTTGAGCCTAGGACTACTTTTTACCCATTGTCGGGGCCTTTTCCAAAGGACTACAGTCAAAGAACTGAAGAATCGCATTTTTGCAAGCAATGGAATAGTCCCAAAGGCTCTGGAGGAACAGGGCACTCTACAGTTGCTGCTCAGAGTGTGCAGGACAAAGAAAAGGGCTCCTATAGACATTCTACAGATGTTGCTCCAAAAGTGGACGGTCCAACACCAGAGAGCTTCACCGCTTCAGAAACGGATACCCTTCCTTATTCCAGAGAATCTACTCAACACCCTGGTGACATAGAGTCTCCATTTTTTGAGGACAGTTTACAACTTGACACCATTATGGATCCATCAGACTTAAGTTTAGTAAAATGGATAGCAACAACTCCATTGTTTGCCAAGACGGAGGGTATATTTGAGTCATTATCATCTCAAGGTAGTTTGCAGGCTACTGAAGAAAAAGAGAACTCCTCTCCCTCTAACACTCAGTACAGAGTGGACTCCAGAGACGAAAACTGGCAAACCCAGCAACTTCTAAAAGCTATGAGTGGTGAATTGAAGCCTGTTGCCTCCGACAGTTTAAACGAGGATTCATTTCAAACAACATTACTATGACATTAAATATTTAAGCATTATTTAAATTCCGTTTGCAAGTCAGTTGTAAAAATATTCTATTATCATTACTAGAGAGCTATTTTATAAAGATATATAAATAGGTACTATATATAGTATTTAATTACTAACGTGGTGATTTAGGTTTAAAATTGGAAAAGTTCTTTTTTGGAGTGGAATACTTAGACAACTGGACAATTCTCCTTTGAAACTGATAAGTTTACACTATATTTTACTACAGAGAAGAGATTTTTACTTAGCAATATTTTGATGTTTTGACTGGAGACAGTGCATTACTGATAAGTTCAGAATTGTTAGTAGTAAACTATGCAAAATATTGGTATCATACGAGGTATATGTAGTATTTCTTTATTATTTGCTATGGCAATACACACAAAATGGTCATGCAAATTAAATATTTCTAGTTCTATTCACAGTACTTTTCCAGCTTTTTGTTTATACACAGTTAAATCCCTAATTGCCACAGTTATATTTGATATCCCAGACGTCTCTTCCTGAATAGTAAAATCCTGCAAAATAAAATTTATCTTTTGTAGGGAGAAATTAGGTTCACAATCCTGCTAGTTACACAATGTATTGAGATAGTTTCAGATACAGTTTTTCACTCAAACTTAAAATGAGGGAATTCTTTACAATTAACTATATAAAGTTTAACTACAATATTCAAGCCTATCTGTGATGGGGCTTTTTATATGTGTAAATGCTGTTTGATTAGAATGTGATTCCATCCCAAAGGAACCAAGTCTGAATTTGATCAAGCATTTATGTTTCTTTTTGTTTTTAAGAAAATGCAACTTTAAAAAATGCTGCTGTTTTATTGGTTGAATAGTTTGTGAAAGTTCTTTATTAGGATAGTGTTCATATTGGTTTTGCTGGCCTTTCTGTCACATATGCGATGTGTAACTTGTTCAGTCCCGTCTAGTGGCATGCCAATTGTGAACATCACTCTGATTCTGTCTACCTCTCCTATTAGAGGATAATTTTACATAAATATTGACAACCCATATCAGGTACATCCGAGCCATACAACCATAGTTGACGAGGGTTGCTAACAAGCACATTCTGAATTTTGTCTTGGTCTGAAATTTATACTGCTCGTTAACAATTGGCGATGTGTAAGAAGAAGATGCATGCAGACTACATGTTACACATTAAACATTATAAAGCCTTACCAGTTCTGTAAGCACAGAGATGCAAAAGACATCCACACACTTCTGACTGGGGTTCCCAACCTGCTGGCTTCCTTACGGTTGGGCCCTGTTAAATAATTGAACCTTCAAGTGATCTGAAAGTAGGATTGTGAACCCTTTAGTTTCAGTTCCTAAATGTGTTAGTGGTTTCCTTATAGTTACTGTGTTTAAAATCTGCAGCCTTTGAGCAGGAAAAAATCTGCTAATGTCAAAAGAAGTTGAGCAACTTTCTATTTTGGTTAAGGATTCCAAATTTCCGAGTTGCATAAAGAGCTAGCAAGTCTGTGGGTCCCAAGGAGCAGGGTTGTGAACCCCTGTATCTGTTGGTAGGAAGGCATTGCCTGGAATGTATCAGTTGTCTTTCTGGCAGTGTCACAGTGGAATTAAAGGCACTAAAATGTAAAGGTAAAGGCAGCACATAGAAAAAAAAAAGGTCCTTATCAACGTATTCTTCTCTCAGATCCTTTGGCAGATTCTGACTCTAATTTGACAGACTACAGTTGGCTGTGGCCTTTTCATTTTGTTGGTGAAAAGAATAAGGACTGACCTTTTGCTGTTGTTTTAAAAGTATCCTTTCGGCTGTAACAAAGAAAACCACCTGAATTAATAGATTTCTGATTAGATGTTGATGTCACTGCAAGTTGCAACATTAATGCATGGTAGAGAAAACCCTAAAAGTACTTGTATACCAAAAAAAAAGTTTCCCAGAATTTTGAGCTGGGCCTGGCTGCAGGGTGTCTCTGTTTTCTGTACGTTGGGTGTTGGCCAGAGCTGTGTGCCCTTTGATATTTCTGGATTAAAGTTAAAAAGGAATGTTAAGTAAAATGAAGTCGCACTCTTAAATCCACTACAATACTAATGGCACCTTAACTGTTATAAAAGATCTGTGTTCCAAAAGTAATTGTTACGAAGAAAATTCTATATTAAAATTAAAGGAATTCATTTAAGAGGAAAGACTCATTTGTGTGGAATACTGGGCATATATAACGAAAACTCTGTAATACATTGAATTTGTTTCTTGATACAGCATCACACTTGAAGTGCAGTGAAACATACAGTATGTACAGAAATGTGCCTTAATTAGCTTTATTAGTTGCATTTACCTGTGGTGCCTTCAAGAGGACAGGGACCACACCATTATCTTTAAAATCACCAGTCTTCAGTGTTACAACGTTTTCACATTACCTGGAACATTAAGTCAAGACTTTTTAAAAATCCGAAACCAAAATGTTCTTGCATAGATCAGGTGTATGGTTTGATTTCTTGTTTTGTTTTCATTGAATTTTAAAATGCAATACTTAGGCCTTCAGTATACAGTACTTCTCTAACTACTTGAATGGAAAAATGCACTACCTGAGGAAATGTTAACTGTAATCAATAAAAAGGTATGGTGATGTGGAAGGGAGTTCAATAAACAGAACAGGGCTCAGTGTACTCACCCAGTTTTTGCTCTGCCTTTGACAGAGGTCGTGCTGTTTTCCAAAAGACTTTTAAAACCCGAAGGGTCAGAAAGGTTCTTTTTAAATGTGCTTTAGCAAACGATTTTGGAGTCTTAAGTGTAGCCAGAAGTCCTGCAAAGGATTTTCTTGATCTATAATTATTAAAGAAATTGATATCTTAATGCTTTTTAACTGTTGGACCTATTATGCTGCCAGCTTTGTCTTCTTTCTTACAGAATTTCTATATTAGGAATTACAGAATTTATCTGATAGTTTACTGAGTTATATGCAAATTTCTATTAATGTTTGTTGGAAAATATTGTTCTGCAGACATCATATTTTGTAAGATATATAAACCGTACCTAATGTGTTTTGTAAATCGGTGGGGTAATTGAATCATTCTTATCTTTACAGAACAATGTCATGTGCCTTAACACTGGATGAGGAATTAAAACAATACTGCCTTACATTTCAACCCAGTTTCTGTGGTTATTTTGGATCCTTAGGCTAACACTTTGAATTTTATTAATGTTCTAATTATTTGAGGATACACAATTACAGTATGCACAGTGCACACATGTGATTCCGTAATTATATATAGGGTAAATGTTTTATAAAGGAACATTTTTGTCGAGCAGATTATTTCCAGAATTAAGTGATATACGCCTGTTGTTTGTTTCCAGGAAGCCAGAACCTTACTGTTTCTTGGCACTATATTAGAAAGCCCTAGCAAAAATGTGGCTGTGTTTAGCCAAATACAGCATTCCAAAATTTGAGGTAAATATCCATGTGAAGTAAAAGTTCCATGCAGGCCCGTTTTCATTTTTTGCATTTTTTTGCATTTGTTTAGCATTACAAAGAAGTTGTTGTGTACTATTCAGTATATGTATTCTAAACAAGTTTTGTTTTCATGAAAATTGATGTACATTGCCTTTCAAAGGTATTTACCTTCTTGCAATGATGTCCTATTTTGTTGAATTATGATATTTACTCTTTTTTTTCGTGATTATTTTTAATAAAAACTTGGAAAGTCAAACTAAGCACTTCTGGGGAGTGAAAGGTTTAATGTCAACAAAAGCAGCAAAAAAAATGCTGATTGCTTAAGTATGAGCCAACTTTGCTGAGGCCCACTTAAATTGGTTCAAGTGCACACATTTACTGTGATAAGTTAAACCGTTTTTTAAATGACCTCTGTGTGCAGTAATAGTGGTTCATATGAATTCAAAATACAACTGTGCTATGTTTCAAGCAAAGATTAAATTTTGAAGATCAAGGGGCTTTCAAAACAACTGGGTGATACGTAAGTGAATAAAAAAACCCTGAGTATCCATCTGAGCATTATGAAGTTGATCATTACAAACTAAAAAGGTGTATTGTACCATCCACACACTGCGAAGTTCAGGCCATCCCTCCAGTCTGAGCAGTCATGCAAGAAGGAAATTGATTCAACCATGAGACCAGGGTGACTTTGAAAGCACGAGAGAATGAGCTGGGAGAAAATGTCCATCGGTCAACTATCTCTTACAACATGGGTGTCAAGAAAGAAGCTATTATTGGGGGGAAAAAAACAACTCGTTTCCCAAAAGGGGTTAAGTGATAATGCAGACGTGGCGAAAGGTTTTGTGGTCACGTGAGGTACGATTGGATCTTTTCATCCAAATGCAGTGTTACACAGGGCATCGGTCAGTCAACGACATCCCCGCTCTGAAGCATGTTAGTGGTAGCGTTATGTTACAGGGCTGCTTCTAATCAGCTGGGAGTGGGAAGCTCCTCAAGACTGACAGGAAAATGAATGGAGCAAAGTACAGGCACATCTTAATGGATAACTTAGGAAACCACCAGTCTGCTAATGATCTCAAGGCCAAAGCTACACAGGGGTAGCTTCACAAGCAAGAAAGAGGTGCAGGTGCAGAGGTGCATGTCCTATTTCCAATAAAAACTGAGGCAAAAATGCCATCCGCCAACGATCACACTTGGCAGAGCTTGCTAGCAGCAAATGGAAATTGTGACATTCCAGAGACCAAGGTAGGTAGAGACCTATCCAAAAGAAGACTCGTGGCTATTGCAGAGAAAGGAGCTTCCACCGAGTATCGGCTCAGTTGGATACTTATACAATCAATCATATTTTAGTGTGGAAATTTTGTTTGCAGTTTTTGCCGATATTCAACCTCTTCACCCAAAAAATAATTCAGTTCAAGGATTCAAGGTTTGATTAAAATCACTTTAAAGAATTCTGAGTTTGTTGAATTTGTAATTTGAAATTAAAATCATTTGAAGGGGGTGAACATTTTTGCAAGGCACAACATATTAAATACTAAATATTGTCAGTGTTATTTCACTTAAGCTTTAAACAATGTGTGCTAGTGTTAAAAAAAATATTTTTTAAGAGAAGCTAGTTGCTACTGATCTGTCTCATATTATACTGTAAGCACTTTTCCTCTCTCCCTCACACCTGAAAACAGCTCCACAACCTTTCAGCATGGAATGAACTTTCACCATTTTCTTTATCACTTTATTATATGTATGTTTCACACAAAATCAACCCTTTAGTTCAATAGCTTTCCTGTGAGATTTATCCTGAAAGTCCCTTAAATCAGAACATTTCAAATTACTGCCCATACAAAAAAAGTGTTAAAACACATGAGTTGAAGTGAGATTTAAAGACATTTGGTGAGTCAGATTACCTAATGCTGTTTGAAAGCGTATTTTAAAATCTTTGCATTGTTACAGAAGGCCCTAACACCCAAGGTCTACAAGGTCTTGGGACAAACAAGAGACACGCAGCATAGGTTTGAAGACTGAGGATGTATTTGGACCAAAGATCAGTGACATAAGAGGACAATTGATTCAAAACCTTGAAAGCCATAGTTGTAAAGGCTTTAACAGCTAGAGGATTTTAAAGTCAATTCCAAATTTAAATGGAGATCTTCAGATATTCAAGAACAGGTGCCTCAGACCAGGACTTGGGTAAGGCTTTGATCACATGATAGTCTGGTTGGCACAGTTCTAAAAATCCCAGCAAGCAGTGCTTTCCAATAATCAGTGTGGGGAGAGACAAGGGCGTGAATTACCCCCATACTAAAAGGAGTTTTCTTTTGCGACGTCTCAGTTACTATAATGATGGCAAATTCATTTGTGTGCATACGTTTGTAGTCACTTGTTGTTAAGCACACAAGAGCACCTGCTTTGATACGCTGCAGGTTATTGCGAAGGTAACAGATGCATATTATGCTCTCTAGATTAAGGCAACTGTCACTTGTGTAAGACATCTATACACAGCACATTGACTTAATCTAAGAAATGCCCTAGTAGGATTATGAAATGTCCCAGTGGTGTCAAATCTTTGCATTAAAGTAAATTTAATACATACTGTCAAGCCATGGGTCCTGACTGATTTTTTTTTTTTATTGGGGATTCTCTTTAAACTTTCAAATGCATTGTTTAGCCTTATGTATCAAACAGTACTGCCATCTCACGTTTTATCCAAATGTGTTTTATGACATCATGGTTCAACTTCCATATTCCCTTGCACTGATTTTTGTAATAAAATACAATTGAGTTTTATAATGATCCACGTGTGTGAATTGAATGATATGCTGCTGCTGGAATAGATTAACTACTGTACATTGGCAGGCAGAATTGTATAGCAGTTGATATGTATGATTTCCATAAGTGCAGTTAGACTTATGTCATAGACCCCATGACTTGGTCAAATAAGTAAATTGTTGGCTATCGGTACAACAGACACCTCCTGCAGGTCTCAGACAAGTCATTTAATCTAGTGACACAGTGGTTAGTATTGCTGTCTCTCAATGTTGGGGCCTTGGGTTCGATTCTGGACCTGGTGTGCTATCTATGTGGAGCAAATAGGAATATGTTTTTTTTTAGAAAAGTTTACTATATCATAAGAGCTTTGGTCTCAAAATCACAAAACATAGCTTTTTTTTAATAACATAGAGACACGTACTTTGGTATTACCAGGTAAACAATGTACATGAACCACTGGAAGAAGAAATCTTAAGAATTGTTCAAATAAAAATCAGAACTCAAAGGCTGATTTTTTCCCCAAGGCACCACATATCTGAGGTGTGTAATAATCCTAAATTATGATACTGTATGTGAGAGTACACTACATAAATACCCCGTGAAACTCTCAAATTTACTTTATATGCTAGAGCTACAGTAAATATTAGCAAGTAGCTGCTTTAGTCTCTTCTTTGTTGTCTGAGTCATTTTATTTATGCAAAATCCAGTCTGCTTTCAATGAATGTATATCCTTGAAAATCCTCTGCTGAACAGATTGTTTCCAGGCAGATTGTTTTATTGTTTTTGTGCAAAAAAAAGTGCGATGTCCTTTATTTTATCCTGTGATGCTAATATGAAAGCGCTCACTAAAGAAGAGAAAAGGGAAGATGAATGATCTTTCTCTCAAAAAACTCCCTGCGGTGGGTCTTTGCACACTGTGCACAACATCTGTGGTTCCACTGTCAGAGGAAGCTGAAATGTAGTTATTAATGAATTGTTATACAGGTGCTGTGGAGAAGCAATTGGACACAATTATGCTTACAGAGCTGTTGTATGGGGTTGTAAGTTATTGAGTACTTGCACATTTTCTCATACGAGTGTGTTTTTTTAACAATTTAACAATCTTCACTGTGTCCTTGGAATATTTTGTCTGGGACAGGTCTCATCAGGTGATGGCAGCACTCAGTTTGGGGTGCTAATCTGTAGCAAGCAACATGTCGCTGTCTTGCGTGTTTTTCTTGTTTGTTTTGTTGTGTTTCTTTTTCTTTTCTTCTTCTATTTGCGTACAACTTTCTGACTGATTCTTATCCAAGCGCAGTATGTCCAGGTGCAGAATGATTAGTGAAGATACAGTGAAACTGATTAAACTATTTGCTTTGCTGTTGTTCTTTTCTATGGACTACGTGGTTCAAATTGAATGGAAGTGATTCGACAATGAAATCAACTGAACTTTTCCTAAAATACAGTGACCTCAGTTAACCCTTGGTGAACTCCCCTGTTTGTACATACTTTGCAATGAAGGAAGACTTTGCATGCCCAAGTCCTCATTGAATATCATATCACTTACTACACCAAAACATAACTTTCAAATACAGGCAGAGATCTGGTTTCAAGCTAGATGTTGAATGGTCTTTTCTTACTTACCCAGATTTGAGTGTTCCATCCACATAATGCATTTTGTGTTGTGATTTTAGACTAGTCTCATGATACGTTTTGCACACTGGAGGTTTCTTTGTGAATAATCCGTTACTGAGTTTTCTATCTCACATTTATCAGAACAGAGATTCTATAAGCTAATACACCAACAAGTCTCTTTGAAACCCAAAGGTTTTACTGATGAGCCTTAACAACATTAGACAGTTTCTAAATAAGAGGATGCCTCTCAGCATATCTAGCTTGTTGACTTGCTTATACCCAATTGGTCCAGGTTTTTCATCAAGCCTTTACTTC